AGATACAGCTCCCTGCAAATGAGATGCTTGTTTAATACTTAAGGCAAAAGTCAGTCCTAGGCAACTTGCTGTGTTTTGCAGATTGCTTAGATATCACCATCTAGAGCATCTGTTGAAGGGGTATCATCAAGTTATGTAATTTGCATAATTGAGTCAAATCCCATGCAGCATCCCTGAAGGAAACCACTTAAAAAAGCAACATTATGGTCCCTGTGTGCTGTGTCTGGATTTCTAGAGCTCAGACATCTTTTACAAAGAGGGGAAAAAAAGAAGCTTCCAGACGAACATCGATATCGGCAACCTGCCCGTTTTCACGAGGAGGGAGACTTTTTGGGTGTGTATGTGCGTATCTTCCCTCCGCCCATGGTGGCATGCTGCCCGCGGCGTTACACGCTGCTCTGCTGATAGTGATGACATGAGCATTAAAATTGCAGTCGACGGAGGGAAGGCTATGCTTTATCGTTCACACTGACTTTTTTTGGTAGTCTGCTGAAATGAAGCTGGTCTTAAAAAGTGTGAGTCTTAACAAGAAATACGATGCTAATCAGCCTGCTGCAGCGACACCTTCCCTTCGGGGCTAAGCGGGTCGTGGGTGCTGGCAAGTTCACTGAAGCAAAGACATTGATACTCATTTTCTAGCACAGAAAGGCACCTCAAAATTAATGTTCAGACATTGTTGACAGAAGTTGTCAGTGACTCACAGCAGACTTTTCACATGCCGTGTTTCAACAGCGACCCGAAAAATGAACGCAAGCGTTATGTTTGCATTCAAGGGCGCAGTTAGAAATATTCTAACCCCTTAACATTTACCCATTAGGTTTAACGGACCGTTTCTGAATGGGATTGAATAACGTAACTTCTCTGCCCAAGACCAAAAAAGCTCCAGAACGCAGCGTGTCTGTCGTGACCATCTGCAGCTACGTCTCGCCTTCAAGATTTTAAAAGCCACTTAGAGTTGTGTCGATCCGATGGAGATGAATGTTGTGTTTATCTCGTGTGAATCGCGTTTGGCTTTGGTTGTACAGGCAATAACGTGAGCTCTGCAGGCAGAGGAACAGATAACGAGTCACCCGACACGGTCCTCACGTGACTTGGCTGGTGCCAAGGTGAAAAGTCAGCCCTTGTGAGTCTGAGAGCTGGGGAACCGGCTCTGCACGGAGCTTAAGGATCGATAACTCTTACTCCGCGTGCCTGCTAAGTCCGACCCTGTGGTTCAGGAAGGTCTGAGTAACTGATGTGTGTACTCCAGGGTTTCCCCTCTCGCTTACGTTAAAGTTTACAAATTGCTGAGGCCTTTCTCTTGACAGGGTTTAGCTTAGCCAGCTCAAAGATGTTTTCATCTATACATTTATTGGGGACTGAGAGAAGCAGTACATCTATCTCCCAGACTGCTGTCCACCTGTCTGATTTGGGCTCGGTACATAATACAGTGGCAGTCTCTCTTCTGTTTTTTCCCTTTCTCTAGCAGCTCTGGAGGCTGGCGTGCTATCGCCTGCTTTCACTCAGGACAGCGGCGATAAGGTTGTCTGTGTTGGGTTGTGGTTTGCTCTGAGGATATTTAAACACTCGTTGCTTGCTCTGAAGTACGTCTTGAAGCTGTGCAGAAAATTTACTTCCCTGCTGAGCACACAAACACATCTCCAGCCCAGAGCCTGGGGGTGCCCACCCTGAGCAGGGATGGCTGGAATGGCTTTGCGTTTGCCGCTTGGCCTGATGAGTGTTGGCAGCGCAGCTCTGCAGCGGCGGGAGATGCTCCTCCCGAGAGCCAGTAGCCCAGCAGTGTGGCTTCCCTCCGGAGCGGGCTGGAGAGGTTGCTGTGAAGCCCTTGGGGTGTGCTTTGAACTTGTCTCCCACCTCCTGAGAGCTGTCGTGGTAGAGGGCAGCTCAGGCTTCGAAGGGACAGCAATCCACACGAGTACCTGCAGCGGTGCGCGGGTATGTTCTGGGGGACTATTTTGGGGTCGAGTTGAGAGGGAAGGGAGGTGCCTCTGCAATTCCAGTTTGTTGCCTGAGTCCAAGAAGAGGTGGGATGTACACACCCTACCCAGTGCCCCGTTGTGCAGCTCGGATGCCTTTTTGCTGGTGGGTTTCTCTTTCTCCGCTTTCTCTGGCGTGTCTGACTTCCCCATGTTGCTGCGCAGGGACTTGGCTTAGGGAGCCGGCTTGCTGCGGGCAGAGTGGGTGTCATGAGGCTCAGAGTTGCACCGTGTGTTTCTCCTTTTAGGTCAAGTCCTTAGACACTCTCGCAGTGCTCTGCTCTTCAGTGGTGAGTGGGATTTCTAGAGTAACTGCTGCTACGGGGTTAACACGTCTTGAGTTGCAGCAAATGGCACACGGAGTAGTGGAGTTGCAAATGATTCTGGTCTGCTCAGTCCAGAGTGCTGTAAACAAGACACAAAAGAGACTTTAAAATATTGATGTTTCAGACTTGCCAGTTGTTTCTGTGCCCAGTATGACACTTGTGCACAAGCCTAGTGCTCAGAAAGTTGGCAAAACTCTCCTGGCAAGGAGCTGCTCTGGTCTGCAAGAGCTTTCCAGGACTTTTCCTGGCAGGGGAGTATCCTGGAGAGGAAACTGGCCGGTGAGCCGGCCTGGCACAGCAGGGATCTTGCAAAACAAAGGGCAGAAATTTCAGAGAATGGTAGAGTGCTCTGTGGGTGGGGGTGGTCATGAGGGTGGCATGTTGTCTGAAAAACTAAAGCCACTGTGGTGGGCCAGACACATATCATAGAATCATAGAATGGTTTGGGTTGGAAGGGACCTTAAAGATCATCTAGTTCCAACCCCCACATAGATGTGCTGGACTGTTGCAGTAGCACAGGGTGGTGCGTCATGGTGAAGAAAACGATGCATTTCACACGAAAAATAACCAAGCTGCCACTTCTGTCTGTCACGTAGCTGTCATCCAGGCTGCTCACGTTAGCTGGCACGGGGTGGTGAAAGTGGGGCGGTTTGCCTCGATGACTGGTGTGAGCACTGATGGACAGAGCCGTGGGGAGGTGCTGGGGTTGGCTCTGCCTGTGCCGTGCCCTGGCTCGCTGCATCCCAAGGAAGCATCTCAGCCCACCTCTGCTCACCCACTGTGCAGGCCCAGCAGCGACCTCCTGCGATGCACCAAGCAGCAGGTTTCTGGTACATCTCACCAGCCTTTTCTAGCAGTTACCGGGGTTTCACCATGGTTAACCATATCCCTTAGCCTGGTCCTTCTCTTCCCATGCCGCCCTGAGAGTTCCTTTCCCACCATCTCCCTGCATGATGAGTATTGTTTTGAGATTATCCTTGTTAGCTGCAAAGGGGCACAAGTGGAAGTTCCTTAATACTTGCTCATGCCATGAACTAGGTGTGTGACTGAGTTCTGGTCCGTCCTGACTGCCCATCAGTTCTTCAGTGAGAATGAAATGAGATTGCAGGGAACAGGAAGGGGAATGCTCTGCGTACTGACGTTAGTTAACTGAAATGTGTAACTGAGTGTCTGAAAAGAAGTCCTGATAGTTCACAGGCCAGCTTTTAATCACATTGAGCTCTTTGACTTTCAGACTACTGGTTTATTGCTCTGTGGCACGGTCATACAACCAGCACAACTCAAGGTTCTCATGCAGTTCCTTTGCTAAGGCTTGTCACCCATAACAGAGCAGGTGGAGCAGAGTGTGTACTGAGCTTACACGTCTTCCCAAGTGTTCAGCAGCTCTAGTTCCCTTTGGTATCGTAGCTGAAACCCGTCTTCACCGACGGTTTTGTAAGCTAACACACAGGGCTGCCTTCCTGCTGCCTGTTGCAGTGATGCGACGGGGACGACCTGCAGAGCCGTCACAGCCAGGGTCACCAGAGCTCGTCTGTCACTGTGCTGAGGTGAACCGCGTTGCGCTGAAGTCTAGGGCCTTGGAGTAACAAGTAAAACGTCCAAATGTCCCTGTTTTCCCAAGACAAACGCAGGCATGAAAATAAAGAGTTTGTAATTTAACTAGTCAAGCAAATGACATCTGTGTCCCAGGTACCAAAGTTGCTGGATAACCCTGCAGGGTTACTATGCCAACCGTTGCTTTTTGGTGGTGGTTTGGTTTGATTGACCCATTAGTGATACTTTAAACCTCTTGCTCTCCAAGGAGGGAAGATTTTTTTATTTCCTAGGAACTTCTAGCCTGTGCAGTTCTCTCTGCAGGTCATGAGGAATTAAAAGGGAAAAACCTTAAAGTTCTTTGTGTAACTACTTCTGTATAATGATGCTACAAATGACTTGTAATATGTTGGTAGAGAATAAATGCAACGTAATTGGAAACTCATTCTCAGGGAAGATATTTCTCCTCTTGACACTAAACCCCACTTATATATAGACACATATAAATATATTTATTTCCCTGGATTTTGGTGGTGTCAGTGTTTGAGACACATCATAATTTTCTTTCCACACACTGTGGTCTCTTTGCTGCTGAATTCTCCCCATCTTTCATTTGCTAACTTGTTCCCAAAGCACCCATTGCTTTTGAATTTCGGGAACAACATCATGAAAAGAGGAGCTCTAATTGGGTTCAGTGCAGCCTCATGCCTTGTGTAACATTTGCTTTTTAAGTTGAGCAGCAAGAATCTTAATAAATGACCTTTTAAATCTTGTTTTGATTTTATTCAGGTATAGTAGTGTGCTCATTAATAATGATCCTGCAATAGGTCTCCCATTACAGCTTTATTGTTAATTAAATAGGATGTAAGATGTATTGGATGTTTTCAAAATGAAAATGGGAGGTTTTTAATAGATTCCCTGATTAAGAATACTGGTCTGCATACATGATGGTGCCCTGAAAAAAATATCACTTAACAGCTATAGATATACTGTTCTGAGGCAAGCAAAACTTGCTTCCTCCCTCACCCTTTTCAGGGTAAAACTACTTGCTGTGATGGTTTTACCCTAAGGAAGTTGTTTAATCTTCTCTTGCAAGAAAGGGAGGTTGTTAAAGAAAAAATTTCACATGCTGTGTATTTAATATATCCAATCTTTTGTTTGAAAGGCATCATACGTGAGGCAAAAGAAAGACCCTTACTTTGGAGATGGACAAAGGACAAAGGACTGGCATAACAGAGAAGCTATAAGGAGGGACTCTGAGCGTGTAGGTATGTAAGATTACTATAAAAATGTTTTAATACAGATTGTAATTTAGTTGGATTTTTATTTGGTAGGCTGAGTGCAGAACAGCGTGTTCAACTTCAGGGTCAAGGTGATGTTCTTGACATGATGCAACAGTTATTGTGTGTTAATCCCAGCTAAAGCCTTTTCCCTCAACTCCACAATAACCATTTTGAGGTGAAAATATGTTGGTAACATGCTGGTATTTTTAGGATGGGTGCAGTATTGATTTTTAAAAAGCTTACCAAAAAATGTGTGCCTGCACCTGTCCCAAAAATGGGTGATCCAGAAAGGAAGAAGGAGGGATAAGAAAAATGTCCTAGATTGTAACACTCATGCAAGTTTTATTCCGTAATTCCAAGTTTGGTCTTGTCGCAGAAAAGGACCCGTTTTGAATGTCACGGCTTTACACTGGGGTGTCTGGAAGGGCTCTGCCTCCTCTGTGCAAGAGCTCAGGTTGTTAAATATACACACCCATCTGCGCCGAAAAAAGCAACCGTGATCAGATATTCAGACCATATGTATTCTTCCTGCAGCGAGACAAAAATCATCCTGTAGGTCCTCCCTAGCGTTGCCACAGCCCCTTCGTCTGTTTCCGGTGTGGGAAGGAAGCCTTGCCTTCTGCGATTTGCACAGCGGAGCAGTTCGTGGCACAACTGCTTATCCACCAGCACTGAGAGGGTGACGTGGCTGACCCAGTGCTACGTGTGACCTACAGCACTGAGCTAATGCAGGAGTTTTCAAAGGGCTGCAAGATGACTGCTCTCCTTTTGACATACGGATTAGTTTCTGGCCCGTTAAGCACCAATTAGTAGTAATGATGCGTGTTTACTTTCTGTCCATCTATAGGAAATGGAGAACAGGGAAAACCTTACCCAATGACTGATGCAGAGCGTGTGGACCAGGCATACAGGGAAAATGGCTTTAATATTTTTGTGAGTGACAAAATTTCTCTGAATCGTTCCCTTCCAGACATCAGGCATCCAAAGTGAGTATATAGTTTTGCATTTCTATGAGTAAAAGTTTACAAGCCCAAAATTACCGCAGCTGCAGGAGTGTGCTCTTCTAATTATGGGGTCTGGTACCTTTGTTCATCAGATGCAGTCCTTTCACAGTGGTGTATCCTACAGTGTATTGCAGTGGGAAATGGAGGAGACCAAATCTGGGCAAAAATTCCCCTTTTGATTCCAGAAGACTTAAAATTACCAAATATGCATAACCCTGTGCAAAGAGATCTCAACCTTAGCCCAGAGGCAGCTACTTCCTTCACCTCTTGCAATGTGGCTGTTCACTTCCGGACCCCACTGACACAGCCAGCGACTTCCAGCAACGAACAAGGTGGAGCTGGCTCTTTCTGCAGTGGGAGGTGGTGTAAATGCCCCAAGTGTCGTCAGGTGGTGACTTGGTCACTAAACACTGGCCAGCTCTTACGCTGGCCACTAGCTGGAAATGGCTGTGAAATGCTCAGGAGCAGAGCAAGATTTGAGTAGCTCCACTCAACTATGCGTGAGGAGTTTAATCAGATCTCCTTCTGATTTATGGATTAGTTTCTCAGACATCTTCCTCATAAAAACCTCATCAGGGTTTATGAGTAGAAACTAGTTCCAATTGAATGCTGGCTCTTGAGTTCATCTATTTTTGGACGTTATCCCTTAGGATGGTGTCAAACTGGATTTTGTGCAAGCCAGAAGGAGTTTTTCATTAGCAACTGTGATTCAGTTAGGACATAGCCCTTGTTTATGCAAAGCTGAGAGGTTTTTAAATACTGTTTGTGCTGTTCTTAATCTGAAAGCATTGTTAGACATTTAAATGGAAGCTCGTTTTGTGTAAAACCGTCTCTATCACATTAGTGAATCTGAATTCAACATCTAGTTTATTCATGAGACATAACTTCCAGAAGTCAGGGTTTATAATTTGTTAGTTGCACATTTGAGAGATTACCCCTTCAGCTGTCACAGCAAACTAATCAAACACACTGCCTTGACACCCTTTCTCAATAAACTCATAAACCAGAGTAGCGAGTATAGCTTCATAAATATTTTAGGCATGCAGCTGAAAATTTTAAGCATAGACATAAATCAGGTAAGTGAAGATGCTTGTTGATCAGTCTGTACTCAAGTTCCAGGACATACAGTTTGAGTTTGCTAACCTGAATCATACCTGGCCTCCATTTACAGGCTGCCCTGGGCTCTGGGAATGTAAGCTTCAGACAATGCCAGTATTTCCTCATCTGAGGATGTAATATGTTACCTCGCTGGTTACCTGGTACCTGGTACCTGGTTTTTCCCACAGTTGCTGACTTCTCATTGCTAATTCTGCTGTTTACTAACTTTTTTAACTAACAACTTCTAACTACAGTCCCTGGTTAAAATTAATAAGTGAAGTGCCTGGGTCACCAGCAACTTAAGCTGTGATTAATGATGCAACCGCAGCTGTTTGCTTGTTGCTTGACACATCCTTTCCCCCAGCGTAGCGAGTTATAATTGTGGAGATCTCAAGGAAAGGATAAACAGCTTGTATATAATGGATGCTGGGATTAGCTGGGCAGGGCGTGGGGTTACGTATAATGGAGATTTGCAGTAAAGAAATTCATGACTGAAAAGGCCTGCTGTGCATTCCCTGTGCCCATTAAAAAAGATACACTTGAAATGGTATGGTTTGTGTTATTTGGGAGCTTGATGAGGGCAATTTATAATGAAGTTTGCTGAGGCAAAGTCCGTAAAGAGCATTCTGGAAGGAAGCAAGCTGGTTTAGAGCACTTGCTTTACTGAGCCTTTTACACACAGGAAGAGATAATAGCGACTGCTGTGTGGAGATGTGCCCGCAGACGGCGGGGAGGTGAACTGGGGAGCAATGCAGCATCTGTCCTCTCCTTTCCCTGAGCTTTGGGGCCACGGTTGGGATTCTCCCAACAGCTGGCCTGGGTGGGAGGGACAAAGAAGCAGCCAATGTGTTTCCTCTCTTCTGAGATGGTTTATGTGGGCCTTTGTATACCAAATAATGTCACCTCTGCTTTCCGTTAGTCACTGGAATCAAAGGGCTGGGTGGGGGTGCAGACTGGATCTATCTGGTGCACACATACAGCAGTTTGTTTCAACACTTGTCTTTCCCTGCTAACATTTACTTTTAAGTGCTTCTGGGTTTTTAGTACTAAATACTAATTTTGCAGGTTTCCTAAAGCAACTGTAGATGTGGTAGCTGGAGAGAAACAGTTTCTTTCCATGCTTAATGGTTAAACATAATAGCTAAAGTTTGCTACTTGTTAAAGTTAAACCAGAATTCTTGTTTTCTGACTAAGAAGAATTAGAAGGGATCTGGAGGTTCTTTTTTCATATTGGAAGAGAATTATGGCTAGGAGCTATCTCGGAGGAAGGTTAACATTGCAATGCCAAGGGCTGGATGAAAGCGCTCCATGCAGCTTTATTTTGCATCTTGCATCTGTGCGTTGCAGCCGGAGCCTGCGAGCCCTTGGCAGCACCCCAAGACGATTCATTAGACCCAGAATAAGCTACTGTCCTTTTACGCAGGCACCACAGTCGCTTCCTGTAATCACAGATTTATTGAGGTTGTGTAACATAGGTGCATCCTTCTCCATTCCCTGGGAAAGGTACCAGGAAAAAGCTGCCACTGCTAGAGCCACTTTTGTTCCCATTTGCCTTTCCGGAGTACAGGGAGGGAATTACCTGCATGCGTGCACTTCACTGCGCACGTAACGTAAACCCGGCAGGAGAGAGTCTGCAAATCTGCTCTGGTACAGGCTGTGCAAGGGTCTGGTGCTGGGGCAGGGCAGGGAGAGGAGTGTGACCTCCCTCCCTGCTAGTGGAGAGGGCAGCCTGCCCTGCTGGCAGTGTCGTTAATATATTCCAAACACCACCTCCGTGCTGCACCGGACACGTGGCGCTCTGGGCATACAATAGGTTTTTGTCTGCTGGAGAGCAGCTGCTGGATGTTCGTTAACTACAATTGTTCATTGTACGGCTTAGGTCTTACCTGTTCAAACTCCACTACTAGGGCCACACCTGCGGGAAAATAAACACTGCCCTTCCTGCTGCAGTTGGAATTTGCTTTGTGACGCTGCCTTGAAAACACTCCCATGAGGCCAGGGAGCGTTACCCCTATTTCAAAATGAAGATTAATGCTGTGGGGACATACCCCCGAATCAAAGGGATCCACAGGGGGACTCTGCAGAGCTGACTCCAGCCTTGGCCAAGTTCTGCAGTGCTTTGTGTTCAAAGCCCAGCTTGCTCCACTTCCGTCTGCAGAACTGATCCCGGGTGTCAAACTAGCCCTGCTGAGAAATGGGGAACACGAGATTGGCTGGTTGTAATCTGAACGGTCTGTCCAGCACGGCAAAGGAAGCCTTTGGTAGAGGTGGGAGGTTGATCTGTTACTGAGAGGTGGGTTTGTTTATCCAGCAGTTCTTCCCACGCAATTCTCCTGTCTTTCTCTCTGTTGTTCATAATGTCTTGAACTTCTGGGCATGTTCAGGGAAGCTGCTGTCACACAAAGTCCGTCCTTTCTGCACATTTTGTTTAAAAAACTGAATGGCAGTTACACATGTGATTAGTTATTTGCTTCTCTGAAACCTGGGAACAAGTGAGCTAACACAATATGCCGATAGTGCCCGGAAGAGATACATTCAACTTCTCAAACCACTTTGCAGAAATTCCTCTTCCTAGTGATTTTTTGAGGTATAAAGACAGGAATAACAAGTGTTAGAGATTTCTGTATCTTAAGCTATAACTAGAGTTTTCTTTAAAAGTGACTTCAGCACCTAGTGGATCCTTCTGACTGTTGCTAAGTGTCCCTGACCATTAACAGTCCCCACTTCATATGGAATGTCTATATTTTTTGCCAGGTAGACTGATCACCACTGGTTTGATAAGGCCTGCAAGTTGGGGTGGTTATTTTTTTTTTTCAGGCGCTTTACATCGATTTGAGGAGTAAAGGATGAACTAAGTTATTTGCTGGTAATTAATATGGAAGTGTTTTGGCACCACCTTTTAACCTTACTCTACCTGTGCCCAGCTGCAAGAATAAGCTGTACCTGGAGAAGCTTCCGAACACTAGCGTGATAATACCGTTCCACAACGAAGGATGGTCCTCCCTCCTCCGGACAGTGCACAGTGTCCTAAACCGCTCCCCTCCTGAGCTGATAGCAGAGATAGTGCTGGTGGATGACTTCAGCGACAGAGGTATGATAATGTGTATGTACAGCTCCACCTGCGCTTCCCTACCTAAGGGATCAATGAACTTGCAAATATGTGTAAAACTTGAGGTTTTTTACTTGCCAGCAGCAGAGCTCGGGTGAACCTTGCTCCAGTACATCTGAAAGACCAAAAGTCTAGCAAAAAGCTCACATTCCATATTGTGTTTGTGCTGGTTTAGCTGCTGATGGCGTGGGCTGTGCTGCGTTTTGAACAATGGGAATAAATAGGGAAGCTTGTTTTAATATTCTGCTAAGAGCCTGTGTAGCCCTTGACATTTAACCCCTGGGTTAAATGTTTGATACTTAGAATACAAAAAAGAAAGGGGAGAATAGCTCACTCCTCATATTCTGGCTTTTTTTTTTTCACCTAGCCACAAAAACTGGTAAAAGAAGCCTCAATAAAAGGTTTCCACCTCGAACTGCCTGTCATTTGGCTTACTTTTCTCCTGAATTTTGTGCTCATTGGAAGTAAATCTGCAATGTCAAAACCTTTGCCTGCTCTCACTTGCTGACTTGCTTGCAACCACGCTCCTAATTTCATACCGCGCTGCCAGGAGTGGTCGCCGGGGATTGGGTTTGGGCTGCATGCAAAGACGTGTAGCCGCTGGCATAACGCTAACGGGAGAACCACTTGTAATGCAGCAGCAACATGTAGGTGTAGTTGCTGAATTTACTCGTTCTGCAGCAGAAAGCCAAGGGATCTCTGCCTCTGAACCGTTAAACGCTGTGCGATACAAACCAAGCTAGAGTTTTCTCGCAGTTTGCGCCCTTGCTGTGGTGGGAAAGGCGATCAAGGGAAGGAGGAATGAACGCCTCTGTCATGTAGACATTGCATAGCTAGAAGGATCACAGGGAAAGTCCTCTGAAGTAAGTGGTCTTCTCCTGTGTGGAAGAGGGTAGATTATGATCAGATCTAGCAACTCTTATTTTCTCCTTTAAAATTACAAAGGCTATTCAGCTTTATGAGCTGCAGAATTCAAGTCCTGCCACTGAAATTACTCAACTGGGGGAAAAGAGCTCTCTGCAGAGATACTGGTGGATACACCCCAGACATCTGACACGTAGGCAGCTCCCGAAATGAGCTTGGAAACAAGCTCATGAGTATTTAACATTCGGACCTATAGTGACTTTGAAATAAGCACTGCCCAACGTTCGTTCTAAAGTACACCTCTAGTTTGCAAGCAAGGCGTGCTGGTTTGAACAAATCAATGTCATATGAAATAAGTATTTCTTTAGAGGATTTCCAGACTAAGCTGTGAAAGGAAAAAAAAAAAAACCAACCACCCTCCCAGCAAGGTCTCCTTATTTCTGCTTAGTCTAGAAGCAAATTAGACAAGCTGATGCTCTAAGTGCAGCTGAATTATACAAACAAGTTTCTTTTGAGAGAAGTAAAAGTAATGAAATCTGGTTTCCTGTACATCTATTTTCCTTGTCTCTTCTGACCAGGCAAAAGAGCGCTCCTGGGTCTCCCACCCCTGCTCCTCATCAGTCTGTACACACCATGTTCATCCAGCTTGCTCTTGCTTTGCTCCACCTGCCTCTGATAAGATGCAAGCTCTCCTCCGTCGGTCACCCATCTTCCATACCAGGGTTGCAAGAAGTAGCTGAGATGAATTTGTGCACAGTATCTATTTATAGGTGCATATGAAAGACTCCTGGTGTTGGACAGTGAGCTAAATTGTCAGATGCAGAAAGAGTGCTAATAAAACCCCCTTTTTGGTTTGTAGTTTGTTTTTTGTTTTTTGTTTTTGTTTTTTTTTTTTTTTTAAACCAGTGTTTTCCTGCTAGCTCAGTTGATCTATGCATGTTGGGACAATTACGGGTTAGGATGAAACATTTTTCCTCCACTGCTGTCAGTTCTGTATCTGCACCGTAGCATTTCCTGCTGGTTGCTGCTCCTTTTCCAGCAGTCAGCATTCTTCCTTAACCACACTGGGGCTGGCTTCCACATCCCTCCCTGGGCTTAAATAGATTCTTAGTCTTCAGGAGGCTGTTAACTCCTACGCATGTGATCTTGACTCGAAAGACTGCTGGTTACAAATTTCTGGGTTTAGTTTATCCATTGTATGTATGAAAAACAAACAAACAAAAAAAGCCACTACAACCCAAGGCCTGAGAATTGATAATTTAACACATCAGTCTGAACTGCAGGAAGGAGCAGAGGCTCCAGGAAGACTTTAACTTTGCATGTGTTATGTCTGAAAAGGGCATTTTCTTTGATTTGGGCTGTTAGGCCACTGCTCTGGTTATCAGTTTCTCATGATTAAATTGGGCAGGTGGTAAGACCCCTGTGTTTGAGCTGGTCATCATCACTGCTGTGCCACAGAACCAGCGAGCAGTAAAAAGAATGAGGAGAGATTTCTTCATTTTCTGTAAAAATCATAAATGATTAGTTCTCTGCATTGTCTGCAAGGTGCAATGCTGTGCTTCTGCTTCAAATGCTAGTCCCACAAATTTGTAATAGCATTTTTCTTGTAAAATTATGGAATCACTGCTGAACGTAGTTATAGTAGAGGCCACGTTCAAGATCAGAGAGGCATAGTATGAACAGTAAATGTCAGCTTCTCCCCCAAAGAGATCAGTAAATAGTCGTCATAATCTCCAGTGAAGAACAAAAGATGAAAAGGATAATCGCTCCATAAAAATCTATTATTAATTTTTTTTATCGAGAGGTTACCCTGTCAAGATAAAATACCAGATACACTCTGCTGTACCTCATGATGGCCTTTCATGTGAGGGTTGTCTAAACAGCCCGCTAGCACTTTAATAACTCTTTAAAAAGACTAACGTTCAAGAACTTGGCTTTCCCTAGCACTGTCTTCCGCTTGCTAGCATTTCTTGTGTACTGACCTGTGTTGGGGTTAAATATACTGGGCTTGGCCAAGCTGCCCTTGAGGTTCTGTCAGCATTGCTGTCGTGCTGCTATTGCACTGGTTTCTGTAGGTGGGGGCATGTCAATCCATCAGCCTCTTTCATCTGTGTATCTCATACACAGAATCTCTGCTTCACATGGTGTAAAGAGCACTTTGCTAATAATAGCAATAGTAAGTGTGGAAACCTGGCTACTGCACACGAGTGTTTTTTCTGACAGATGTTACTTTCATAGTTTTTCATCTGTTTTTAAGCCTGGGAGTAAGGAAGTTTTGGGTTGACTCCAGAGAGGGTTGAGAAATTGGCTAGCAAAGTGATAGCAGAGTGAAGACAGATTTCTGGGTTAGTTGGTGGCTGCTGTGGTTTGCAGCATACCTGAGAGGCAGCTGTGGCGCTTGGCATTGTTGGAGCTCTTGGACCCATGAATCATCATCTGGACGTGTCAACAACCATTTATTTCTTAATTTGTTTGAGACAGACAGTTCTGTGACCTTTAGCAATAAACATTTTTCAGCCAAAAAAAAGACTGTCCTGATGACAGCAAATCTTAACAGTGAGCAGCAAGAGCTTTGAGTCGTGTTTTTGAAATGTTTCCTATGCTTTCTATTTGAAAAATCAAAATGTGCTGGAACAACTTGCTGTATGGAAATTTTGCCTGCCTGTAGTGTAATGGCAATGATCAAAACGTAGTCTTACTTCAACCAGATCTAGTGCTGGATTCCGTATCAACCCCAGTGCTCTGGGAAAGGCGCCCTGTGGGGGGGATCAGCCCAATACAGTGCAGTGGTGGCGCCCAGTTTGCCTGGAGGTGCGTCCGTGGTGGCACCTCCAACAGCCCTCTGCTGACGCATCGTTCTTTGTGGGGACTCCCTTGATCGGTTGAGTTAGCTCAAAAGAAGCTGCTTTCCAGCACGTGTCATTGGTCACAACAGAGTATCACTGAATCCCAAAATGTTAGGGGTTGGAAGGGACCTTTGGAGATCATCTAGTCCAGAGCAGGTTCATCCGGAGCTTGTTGGACAGGAATGTATGCAGGTGGGTTTTGAGTATCTCCAGAGAAGGAGACCCCACAGCCTCTCTGGGCAGCCCGTTCCAGTGCTCTGGCACCCTCAAAGTAAGGAATGTCTTCCTCATGTTGAGATGGAATTTCCTGCCTTCCAGTTTGTGCCCGTTGCCCCTTGTCTTATAAGACCATGAATATTACGCTTTCTACCCCACAGACTTAGCCTGGATGTCAGTGATAGAAGGACTTTCTTCGCCTGACCATAAGCATTTCAAAACAGTTGTTGGGCTTTGATGTGCAGAATATAGGTGACATGGGAGAGGGAGGCACCCATTCAGCTGACTTGGAGAAGAAGGATTAACCTGCCTGGTGTTGTCTGCCCATTCCCGTGCGCTGCTGAGAACTGCTGAAGCACCCCAGACCGACCTCCTCCGATTAACCTCGGCTGTTGCAGGGTGGTCCGGAATAACACCCACCCTTCTGGACGGATGGAAATCAGAATGCAGCACATGTGAATTACGACTTGAAAATTCCTGCTCATAAAAAACCAAAAACGCTTAGCTGTGGCAGTCCTGGGTGGATTTGTGACTTCACTTTAAATTTCTATAGCTATTCTTCAGTTCTGATGTCAGTTAAATTAAGCCTTTTCATATGCCGGCTTGCAGGGTACTAATTATATCCCTCTGAGCCTGTTGTTGCGAGAATGGCCCCAAGTAAACTAAAACTCTTTTTTTCGGGTATATCGGTTTTCTCCTGGGGATTGTCAGATGTGAAATTTGTTTGCTTTTTGATTATTTAATTACAATGCTGCTGAGTGGTAAGTGGGTTCTTTTATATCAATAGAAAGGGGAGGAGGGGAGGAGAAGTTGAAATGCGGGTCAGTTGGTAACGCTGCAGGGTTTTGTGTCAGCTCTGATGGCATTTGATTATTGATAGCAGGCAGCGAATAACAGACAGGCAGCTCATCATTCTTCAGGGTCTGCTTCCGTCCCTAGGCCTGCAGTCAGAACGTGGCCGTGGTTGGAGAAATCGAGCCGTTCATCTCTCGTGCCTGTCTTGTACAAAATGGATGATTTCCACCTAATTCTTGCAGCTCGTGGCCATGTCTGCTG